AATCAAACTCACTAAAATTGTATGGAATCAAACTCACTAAAATTGTATGGAATCAAACTCACTAAAATTGTATGGAATCAAACTCACTAAAATTGTATGGAGTCAAACTCACTAAAATTGTATGGAATCAAACTCACTAAAATTGTATGGAGTCAAACTCACTAAAATTGTATGGAGTCAAACTCACTAAAATTGTATGGAATCAAACTCACTAAAATTGTATGGAGTTGAACTCACTAAAATTGTATGCTGCTATTTCAACATGTTTTACAGTACATCATTTGTAGTCAATTCAATTCAGATGAAAACAATAGAAAGGTGCAGTGATTTTTTTCTCTCTAACAGAACGACCTTAATTTATCTTATAGCTTAATTACAGTAAAAACAATGATAAAAGTACTGTACTTCTATACTTCCCCATTTCTTTCTCAACAATTCATACACATAGGAGTTACCTGAAAATAGGATGCCACAAATACTGCTCCTCCCACAATGCAATAGTAGATGGAATAACGTGTCATTTCCTCTTGCCAATGAGAGAGGCTGGGATTAGCAAATGGATAAAGAGGAATAACTGAACTACCATTGGTAAAGTTTGTCAGTGGAAACGGTGTCATTATCGGTAGGATTGGCAACGCTGATGTGTTGTGACCAGTCATATTCTGACCAAGATTTATAAACGAGTCGGTCATCTGACCAAAAATGATCATCATTACAGGCCATCCTGCTCCATGTACAACGGCAAAAATACTACCGATGATCATGAACATAACATCTAATGCTGTAGCATATCGAAACTGAAATAGAAAAAACAATTAACTCATTATACAATACATCATACAAGACTATGAACACCTCAGTTATACTGGAAAAATTATTTGTTTGTATTTAAATTATTTGTATTTGTTTTAATTTTCATCATGTCTATAGTCCAATTTTCTACAGAACCATGTACATGTAGTCAATATACAGCCCTGCAAAGTCTTAAGTTGGTAGAGCTAGGCTTTTAATATAGCTAGTAAATAACACCAAATAAACAGCAAAGTAAAAATGTACTGTGTGCGTGTGTGTACTTGGATTGCTATATGTTGCGAGGACAAAAATACAGATATATAGCTACTTCCGAGGACATACACACCTTCCGAGGACCTTTTTCATAGTCCTCGGAAAACATAATTTATATTAATAGTTAATTCGATTATTAATACGTTTTGCGTAGCTTAGGTT